CGTAACCCTCTCCCCACTTCTCTCCGGCCACGCGCGAACGAGAGTTCAAAACGTCTAAGAAAACTTTGAACATGTCACACACGCAATAGAATACTTTTTTGAAATCCCTCGGAATTGTTTTTTGAGATGCAGTAAAGCATAACATGTGTTAATAATGGTAATTACTCCGAATTTTCAGATTCGATTTTTAAAATGTGAATAACAAAGTTATAGTAATTCTTGCACGTTTTAAGAGATGTTGATGATTTTAATCGTCAGAGCAAATTAAATCGTAGCACATGCGGGGGGAAAAATCCTCCAAAGCTGCTATATAATAAGGCGTACGCGAGGTTTAATGCTCTTTGAAAGACAGTTATATATTTACAATGATGCACCCTAAACCAAAGTATTAAAGTCCCAAGGGAAGAGTCCTGTTGAAGTCGCTTCGAACGGCCCGAAAGTACCTAAAACGTAATTGCTTTAGGCTTATTTCGATTTTCCCGCGCGGGTGTGGAGTCGGAAATAGGTGGTTGTCGACTCGGCTACATGTCTGCCAGCTCAAAACCCCGATCGTTTGAAATTTTTCTGTGCGGGGCCCGCGGCACGCTTACCGAGCCTGACGTGCCTCGACGTCGTCCCGACGTCCTTCTTCTGACCCGCAGCATCGTCTTTTGCTTCAAATCTGGAGGAAGAAAAGTTGTCCTTGGCCCGCTGGGGTCGGGTGGGGTCCCCGGAGCGACCTTCCTGTTCCTTGAACCTGGCCCCACGAGGCGCATTGCTCGCGTTGGCCGCGTGGGCGGCGAGGGGCGCGCGGCCGTGCAGCACACCGAGACCGTCCACAAGATCATCCGAATGTTCAACACGTTTCGACTTATTGAGGCCCTCGGACTCCCAGGGTAAGATCGGCACGCGGTTTATTTTGACTTGACTAACCACGAGGCCTCTTTTGGCCCAAGGTTGTTTTGGGCCATGCATTTTGCACCGAAAAATCCAAGGGTGTGAATGTCAGACACCTGTAGGTGTGTCAACTTCATTTGCACACATGGAAGTACAAGTGTGTTAATTTTAGAGGAAAATTCACACTTAACGCTCGTAAGTGTAACACTGGTCATTGACCCGTGTGACATTCACACAATTGCGCGTTTCTAGGGGAAAACACGGAGATGTAAACAGATTTCTAGTTACTTAATAAAAAGGCCATGGCCGTTTAAACTGAGCAGAGCACATCAAAGTGACGGAGTAAAAGTAAACAATCCCCCCCTTCCCCCCAGGCCACTTGTGAACAACAGAACAGGGGACACTGCATCCTGTCCTTGAACCTGCGCTCGCGCGCCGCCGCCAGCGCTGCCATCGCGATTAGCCCGTCTGGACGGCGTTACCATTTACTTTTGCACTTCCTGATAAAATATCGCCAGCGTCGTGTTATTATTACTTGGAGAAGAACGAACACCCACCTCGCGGTGTGATCGTCACGCGTACCAACACCCAAGATTGTGAATGTTGCACACTTTTAAGGGTGCGATTTTCAGCTTAGACACTCGTCTTAGTAAAGGTGTTATTTTTCTTTTGACTTTCGTATACTCGTACTAGTAAAGGTGTAAATTTTGCTTGGGTTCTCGTACAGTTGTACTTGTAATCTTGAAAGTGTACGAAGGAAAATTCACAGGCCTACAAGTGTAAAAATGGAGATTTGCACGCCTACAAAGGGAGGAACACCTCCATGTGTGTGACGTATTCACACCACACACTTGGATTTCCTGTGGACCGCTAGCGTAAAGCGGCAGATTAGGTACGGTAGCGCACACTGTTAAAAATATTTTGTGATTTCGCAACACTTTCATGATACGAAGCAACTGTGAAATCACAAAACTTCTTTGCAGTGGAAAATGTACATTTTGCTGTCTTACTAGGAAATAGTTGTGAACCAATCGTAATAATTTCTAATGGTATCAATTTTTGACAATGAAGAGTTTTGATTTCACAAAGAGTTTTGGCAGCTTTTTTCCCAACGAATTCTACGTGAAGTTCTGAAATTTTTTAAACAGTGTATGATTTTTTTCGTCTTTTTGATGACTTTGCGCCTCACACGTAGACATGAGCGCCGACCGGATTTTTACCGGCGGCGGCGTTTGGCCTAAAATTTGTCGGCGGCGGCGGCGGCGGCGGCGGCGTGACCGGCGTCCACAACTGAAATTCGGCTTTAAAATATTCTGAAAACGACAAATACGCAAATATTGCGCTATTGTTGCATGAGCTTTGATATGTAATACACAAAAAATGTTTCCTGTCCAAAAAAACATAAAAAGTTGGCAATCTTCTGAAAAATTTGGCGAGACGAATTTTTTGCCTACCTACAAGGCGTCTGCCGTTCGATTTCAGTGAAAATTTTGTGCTAAAAAACCCGCGCCGCCGACCACGCCGCCGACCAAATGGCCGGCGGCGGCGCGGCGGTGCGCCGAAAAATTTCTATCGGCGGCGGCGTGGCGTCGGCGCGGCGCCCATGTCTACTCACACGTACTCGTATCCCGCGTCTACTAGGCTTATGACTCACGTGTCTCGTGTAATGCCAGGCTTTGATGCGACGTCGGGCAAAACGCGCCCAAGAAGCAAGGTCTTAGCTACTTACACTGATAAACTAAGTGCGCGACTGCAAGTTGAAAACTTGTAAGTGTTCAACTTGGTAGGTAAGTGCACTTCGAAGTGTGCAACTCGTCAGTTAAGCACTTTCTACTCAGTGAGCGTTCAATCTAAGGAAATGTTCAACAGAGGATTTGCACAATTGCATGTACACGCCTGCCGAGCTGAACACTTGTAAGTGGAAGACTACGGAGTTGCACACGTACAACTATTTAACTTTGAAGTTACACTTTTACAAGTGTTGAGCAGTAGAGTGGGTCGTAGGAAAAGGATTTTGGAAATTGAAAACTTAATAGTGCGGAAAAGTTGCCCTGTCCGATGACAAATTCAACGCATTTTTATATTTTGAGATCGGATAATATTTTCCGATCCCGCAGAGCGTTTGAAGTTTTGGGGAAAAGACTCAAAAAGTGAAATTTCTGATTTTTCGCTTTCCAGCGAACATTTTTTTGAAAACAAATCTCCAAAATGCAATCTATGCAAAAAAAATGCGTCTAGTGATGAGCCACACTTAAAATTTGACTGAAGGGTGTAGTCAGTTGCAAGTGCAAATTTAGGCCAGCAAAGCCATTTTTGTGTAAGTTTTAAGTTAAAGTGGCACCTGAATGACTCCGAACGGGCGTTCACACAGCTACAAGTATGCAACAATCGCCCACTTGCGTTTCCAGTGCACTACTAAAAGGCGGACTATTACCCTCCACACTGCATCTCCAGTGAGTGTCTGGTGCACAAAAGCCTTCGCGTGCTCGAACAGGGCCAGCAGCTCGAGTGTGTCGAATCATATCGACGACACGAGTGTCAAGAGGGATGGTGAGGCGAGGAATCCGGCGCACTGTGAGCGCAGCCCTACTAGTGTGTTTCGGGCTCTTTCCATGATGGCCGTTAGATCCAACCGTCGACTGGTTCCCGAGCGCGACGCAGGCATCGCGACGCCGTAAAAATGCGCAGTAAAAATCGGAAACATGCCATACACGCGTTCGGGTTCCGCGACGCGATGTTCGTAGACTATTTGAATACGAGCTGATCGTTCGAGACATCCATTAATGCGAGCAAGGCGAGTATGGCTGCGACATGCGTCGAGCCGGAGATAAAAGAGACGACGCATAAGCGACCATAGGGGACCGGCAAGAGAGTAAAACGTATTCGTTATTTTTTTTTACTTAGATTCAATGACGACGGAGCGCTAGGCGCCTGCGAGGCTCAGGGTAGGCCACCCCACACTGCACGCATGCGCTGCAGGTGAGATGTTGCCTACCTGCCAGGCGCTAAAGAGTGGCCGTTTGCGGCCGAGTAGTTCTTGTACGAATATCTTGCTTCAACGCATGAGCGTCGCCAAAAAGGAGCGCGGTGAAAAAACATGATCGGAAAATTACAGCGCATGAACGAAAAACGCTTCAAGATTCGAAGAACAACAATATGTGATGTAACTCGTCTCGACGATAAGACGTCCGGCCCAAATAACGATAGAATTGCGCCGAGCTCAGAGATGCGTAGGGCCTACTGTAAAAAAAGCGTTTGGTCGTAATTGTGAATCGCAACCCTATCGCATGCGTAGGCCCGGTATCGGGAGATAATTTTAAGACGAAGAAGACGGTGTCCCCGCATAATTCACTATCTCCTTTCATGGTAAGATTAGTGCAGTTGAAAGTGTCTTTCTTCTTGGATTTAAAAATGACAACGTATACAACAGTTTGATTTGTAAAGCATTTGTTGAGCCATCAAGGCTCTTACGAAAATCGGTTTGCATTACAAACTATTTGTTCGTAAGCTTACGAAAAATTAGTTCGGAACACAACAACGCTTTAAAATCCTTCGTAAGGTACGAAGGTTTTGGTTTGCATTATGAACCTATTGTTTGTATTGTAATTTGTAAGCAATTTACAGCGCGCGACTGTGTACTGGCTGACGTAAGGCGCCGTGGCCCGTGCAAGGAGCAACAAGGGGGGTACTCAACAATCAGGTGTTTTGGGCTCCAAATGAAAAATATACCCGCCGCTTTACGAACGTGTGTTTTGTATGTGTATATATTTTTCTGTTTTTTACTTCTTTTTTTTTTGCATGATTGTTTTTTGGTATTTTCTTTTTTTGTAATTTTTTTGTTAATTTTTGTGTGTTTATTTTTTGTGTGTTCACCTTTTTGTGTGTGGCGGGGGTGGGGAGACTGGTCAAGCTAAGTCGCGGGGCCCATTGCGCTTATCGACAGGACAGTGCTGCTGCGAATTTTGCCCATTTCGTGCGAATTTCCCCCCACAGGCCGCGTCACGACCATATTCGCACACATATGGAACGATTAGAGCGGTCATTGTTTTATTGTTTGTCTTGATTAGAATTAAACATCAATCTAGAGGGTGAGATAATTATAAAAGTATAGTGGACGCGCAATGTAAAGTTTCAACTTTTTTTAATAATACAAAATAAATAAAGATTTGTGGCACACCAAGGCGATAGCTTTCACAGTGTTCTCAAAGATATCGAATGCTACTAAACTTCGACTCTTTCACATTGTATATAAAAAGAACATTGCATCGGGTCGACAATATTCGCCGAAGAGAAAAGGTCACCCCCAGACAAAGTAGCCTTCGTTCTACTCATGAGAGACATCATTAAGCAAGAGGAAAAAAAGGGTGAAATTACTGCAATGTTGCAGATCCTAACATACGTGACGTCAGAACGAATCACTTAGCCTGGTGCTCATCGCCGTGCTGCGAGTGCCATGCAAATAAAGATGACACATTCTATTTGTTTGAAAAAAAGTGAGACCAAAGTTGCACTCTAAAACTACTGTGTACGAGAGTGATGTTTCACACAGACAAGCGTTTGACAGCACTAACATATGTGCTTTTACTAAGCACACTTTCAAGATATTGGATATCTCACACATGAGATTGCAGCACAAGTGAAAAGTGCAACTGACAAGATCCAGAAAAATGAGACGACGATTACAAGTAGAAACGGTTCGATTTATTTACAGTATGAGATCTATATGTACGCGCATCACATTACAATAAAAGTATTACATGGTCCCAACGCAAATGCACTATGCAGCTGCATTTGGATCTTTTTCGAACTGCAGACACAGATGATCACTTAATATCATAACCTATCTTAACCTATCTAAATCTAATACTATTATTTTTTTTAATATTTTCTTTTGTTGTTTTAAATATACATAATAATATGCATTCTTCCATTCATGGTGACGTTTAGCTGTGAAATAAGTACACCAATATCACAGATTGCTGTTGTTTGAACAGGGGGAAACAAGGTGATGCGGTGCGGTATGTCGCAGAAGTTATTAAAAAGAAGCTTATTACTCGCTTCAACACACTGAAAAACGGCTGATTTTTCATACCACTTTTAGTGCACGTGTCGAATGTTCGGTACTTCAATCAGACGGTGACCCGTGGCCCTAGCCATTGTGCTAAAACGCGAGAAAATAATACCCCTTAAGAAATCAAAACGATGTGCAATATCAGAGATAAGTCGAATTTAGGCCTTGATTATAATCGTTTCGACACAAAAGTCGACAATTTTCTGATTTCGATCGCATTATTTCATCAGAGAAGTCAGCATTTTTTGATTTTGATTGTAATCGATTCAACACAAAATTCGTAAGCTTTCTGATTTCAGTCCAATTTCGTCTCGATATCTCCATTTCTCTGAGGGTAGTGGCTGAACCGAGAGCAACGAGAAAAGAAGCCACTGCCACCGCCACAATGCTCAGACGATGAGAGGGGAAAGAACAAGTGTACGAAGTAGCATGCCAGATGAAATGCCACGTATAAATATGGTTCGAGTCGGAAGAACACATCCGAACGCATCGAGTATTGCACACGTTATCACCGTATAGTACCATCATCATGGGAGGTATCCTTGCGCTGCAACTCGTCGAAAGAAAAAAAATATCGGTGGCACGGCATAATAGGGGGGTAGTGGGGTAGTGGGTAGTACAGAAAAAAAAAAGTCCGAATAACTTGAGCATAACTGCTCTATCACCGGCAGGAAGTCTTTGGTTATCACAAAACTCGCGCTGAGAGCGACTTCACTGAACGGTACCCGTACGCACTCCGACATCATGGAGACCACGTGGGCCCGCCCCATCTCACCGGGTCCTGTAGGGTAGGGGTCTTGGGGGAGCCCTGGATAGGTCCTGGAGAGATCCTTGAGGGGGCACGCCAGAACCCCCGGGGGACGTCTTTGTAAGACTCCGAGAGGGGTCCAGCATGAGTCCTGGAAGGGTTCATCCAGTCAGGTCTTGGGGGTGCTTCGCGGTTCAAAGAACAGGGGGTCGTCGTCGCCGTGGTCCTCTGCACCAGGACGCCGCCGTAGTCTGCTCAGCTGCAGTAGGTCTTGTCGGCGGCCTCGTCCTCGTACGAGACGGGGCGCTCGTAGGCGCCGCGGTCGTCGGCCGCGCACAGCGCAGTCCCGGCGCGCCGCAGCAGCAGGAGCCGGCGCACGATCACGACCGCCGTGACGAGCGCGACGAAGGGCAACACGTACAGCAGCACCAGCTCGATGGCGTCCAGCAGGTAGCTGGCCACGAGGATCATCACCTTGAAGCCGGTCTCGTACGGCGGCAGGTCCTGAGGAGGCAGGGACGGATCATCGTCACATCCGGCAGCGAGTCAGTTCCCAAGGCGCGCCCTCGCGACGCGGGGTCGCGGGCGTTCAAGTCAAAACCCGAATAAACACCAACAACTTTTCTGAACCGGCTCGACACAAACGTGTGCGAGCGCAATATTCTAATAATTGTTTCGCTTCCGTTGGGCCTGGTGTGACGTTTAGACGAGGGGTCCTTCACTATAAATTGTAGCGTACATCGATTTTTCTGTTTTTCTTGATTTTTTGTGATTTTCTCTTGATTTATTGTGTTTTTTTGTAATTTTTTTGTGATTTTTTTCTGACTCTTCGTTAATTTTTAATGATTATTTTTGTGATTTTTCGCGATTTGTTATGATTTTTTCGTGATTTTTGCTAAGGGTGTACACTGATTTTTTTGAGTGAAGGACCCCTCACGTTGAGATGTAAGGGGCGGGTACTTTCTGTTTGTCTTGCAATATAAAGTAAGGATTGACAATAGAAATAGCAGAAATGTCGGTGACGTCAAGTATCAGTGATGTTCTCTTCGTAAGTTCTTTTTTTAAGGGGGGGGGGGGGTCAGTTAGAAAGCCAAATAACAGCCCCCATAATCTCACCGGAATAACTCACTTTGAGGAGTCATAGAGAAAACTACTCAGTAATATGAAGTAAATTTGCGCCGAGTGCGCTGCTTACCTCAGCAAACCAGGCGACGGGGAGCACCATGCCCTTCCGCAGGTGCGGCAGGTCCTTGGTGACCATCACGTTGAGCTGCAGCCGCGACCTGCCCTGGAGGGTCATACCGAGGCGCTGCGGGAGCAAACAGACGTCAGCGCGTGAGCAGGATGGGTGGCCTACGCTCCCGGGCGGCGGCCAGCCGGGGAAACCACGACGAGCGGGAGGGGGTATCATGGCGACCCAACAGAGACACCACAGGAGTCCACAGGGACACTATTGTACCCCAGAGGGTACAAATGTCACGGGGTCCCCTTGAACTCCACTGGTGACCCTGATATTTTGTAGGGCTCCATAATATAAGACACATGTGCACTGTGCTCACCGGGTGGATGTCGGCGGACATGTCGTGCTCCTCCGCATTGGGCGTCATGCCCTCGAAGGGCGCAGCGACCGCTGGGTCCGTCAGGTAGAAGTGCGGGTACGAGATGAAGGTGGGGGCACCTGCGAGGCCAAATAATCGTAACTCAACATGTGTGAGTGGGGAATCGGAGGATAATGCGTAGGTAACGTGCCCGAGATAGTCCCGAAAGTGATCCGGGGGTAATCTGAGACAAGTCTAGTGGAAATCCAGGGGGTCGACCAGTGGGACGATGGGCTGAGCTCTTACCCGTGCAGGGGCTGGTATCGAAGAGGCCGTCCGCGGCGCACTCGTTCAAGTCCGTCTTGTTGCAGAAGCACAGGTTGTCTTTGAACGTGCGTGGTGAGTTGAACGCGTTCCGGTCCACGATGTAGCGTGCCGCGCGAATGCCCTGCGCCTGGAGACGGACAAAAAAGACACGCACCGTCATCGTCAACGAGTCCATTCGCGACCGTCGCGTCGTCGTCCGTCACCCTGCAAAGTGGTGGACAAACTCACCATGACGTTTTTATCGTGGACGAACTTGACGAGCCGGCAGGCCTCGGGCTTGAAGGCGTACACGGGCTGCCGAGCGCGGATCGTCCTGGGCGGGAAGAGGGACCCGTCTGAGCCCTCGAAGGAGTTGCACGATGCCTCGGGCCAGGCGTTAAGGTTGGCCTTCTTGTTGTAGCGCACGATGTAAGACAGCTTGTCGATGTCCGAGGCCCCCGTCAGAATCGTTATGTCATCCGGTCGAAGTTTCTACGCATTGGAAGTCCAGGGTTTTAATTTGCTATAGGCGTTATGAAGGGTCCAGGCTACAGATTATGGAGAGTTTGGGCAATAATCTATGTGGGATCTCAGCTATAGGTTATGTAGTGTTTCGGCTATACGTTGTAGGGTTAAGACCATAGGCTCCAACAGGATATACGGCTTCACCCTTATCACTAAAACACCACTTACCCCGTTAAGAAGTCCGACCCTGTCCATGGCGACGTTATCGGAGGGTAGAAGCTTGGACATGCGGAAGAGCTCGTCGTCGTAGCCCCAGATGAAGTCTTGGGCCTTGAGGGTCACAAGGGGGCTGTCCATGCGCAGGGTCTTCAGCACCATGGAGACTGGTCCCCACAGCAGGTCCAACTTCGCCTTCGCTCCCTGAGAAACGTGGAGCGTTGGTTGGCGTTTGATGAACGACAGAGCAGGGCAGTGGGGATAATGTCAATTATTTTCCTGTACTTACGAAGAACGGCAGGTTCGGCACCACGACGGTGGCGTTGAGGTCACCACCGGACTTCTCCGGCGTATACTCGTACTTCCTGGCCTCTTTGTAGGCAATCGTGAGACCCTTGTCGTCGAACTTGATATCCTCTCGAGAAATAATTTCCCTGAAAACGGACCACAAAACATTGGTAATTTAGCGATATTCTTCATGTAGGGGCCATGGAAGTTCACGAACTCCCTCAAATTTAAGCGAAAACGAGGAGTACGAACTTGTACGCAAACGGTCCAATTTCATCCAGTTTAAGCTTGAGGCTGGGGTCCTGCTGGAACTCTTCCCAGTTCGAATAGTTCCAGATGTAAACTCGGAACATCGGATTCACCGGTGGCGTCACCCACCACGCAAAAGTGCCCTTATTCTCGTCTAATACCATTTGCTGTCGCAATAAAAAAAAACACAAGATTATCACGAGACCCGGCCTAAAAATAAAATCCGTCGAGATTACTTAACCGGGACACGCTGGCTGTACTCACATTGGCCACGAAGTTGTGGAAAGCGTCCGTGGTCCACATGATACAGGAGCCGCACAGGCTGAACACGCATGCCGCGAGGAGGGCGACAAGACCTGTCAAGTCATGAGGGTGCTTAGCATCGTGACAGAGAAACTACTACGGGGTTACACATATTATGGGGTCCGAAAAGAATCAGGACCCCATTTGAGAGTCTAGGAACCCCACGATACTTTTATCCCTGTCTTCGTCTTCAATCGTGAACGTGAACCAAATGTATGGCCATGCTATTTCACTGGTAAAAAAAGTGAATGGGGCGCAAGTCCAATGGAAAGTCCGAAGGACTTACGCCCTTCTTCACCTCTAATTTGTACCCGGCATCTCCTTACCTCTCCATCTCGGGCTGTCGCGCTTCCTCCGTCTGAGGTTCGCCTCCAAGTCCCCCGCCTTGGCCGACGCAGTGCCGCTCTTGGAGTACTGCTCCGAAGGGGCGTCGGACTCGCTGTGCGACAGAGAGACTCAATCAGGCAAATCTATGACGAGGCGAGGTTCAACGCGTGTTCCTTATATTAGTATTATTGCTAGGGGCTCGCAAAGATAAAGTGAACGACAGGAAACAACTGTAAAAAAAAAGAAACAACACACGGAAGACGCGAGTAACTGTAAATGGACGCGTTCCACTGCACACTTGCAAGGAGCTGGATGAATTCTCGCGACGAGGCCAAACTTGCATAACTCAAACTATAGCATGTCACTGGCTTATTTGGCTTAGAGTTCTGCAGAACTACTTGTTCCGAGTGCCTCAGGCCCTAGTAATGGCCCTGTAATGCCTTTTGATTCTCTTTATCAAAATTCTAAATAATAATGTAAGGGAGGTAGAGGTTGTCGGTCGGGGAACTATTATTGTTTTTGTTTTCATGACAAAGGAATTGTTTTTTCCATATGCATTAAATCTGCTTGCTCCATCCATCAGAACCGAATGCCTTCCGGATCAATACACCGCACCATGAGGTCGCGGCAAAAAATAATACCACTTCCAGACAAGACATACGACGCTAAATACGTGGCGTTACCGTGACATAGCGAGCTCAACGTCACCCTCTTTGCGCGGGATCACTAATCTACTCACCTCCCGCCGCAACACAGCCAGGTCCTGCGACACTCCTTGTCCGTGTGCTTCAGCGTTTCCAGGAACGGCCTTCGAATGTTGCCGACGAACCACCCGGAGTTCTGCAATCAAACACGTTCACAAACGGTCAGCGCCTCTGCCGGAAACTTCAAGACGCACAACCAAACCATCACGGAAAAACTCTCTCGTCGAGGGCAAGCGTCGCCAACGAACACACGAAAAATAGTCACTCAGGACAACAACAACTGCCAAGGAAAACGTTCAATTCAACGCGACAGTTCCACGCCAAACCACATCAATTCTTGTCCTCACATTGACGGGTTCGCGCTCAGCGCACGCCCTCCCCTGCTCCTTCTCGGCCTCGGCTCGCTTGCAGGCGCCCATGTCTCGCGGATCACACACGGCAGTGCACTACAGCTCGCAGCCCCCGGCCCGCCCAGGCCGGCCCGTCCGGGGGCGCGTCCGAGACTCCCCATACGAACGCGGCCCCCGATAAGGTTGACCCCGCTAACCTCTCTTTCCGTGACCCACGCCTCACCGGACACCCGCCGCGCCAACGACGCGCCGCCCGATGCACTGGGCGCGAGGGCGCTGGCTACGCGAGCTGTGCGTCGACCTCGTCAAATCGGAAGCGTGGAAAGATGAGTTTCGTCGTGACCACAGAGTGATCAAGGCCCATTTAATAATTTTGTAAGATCATACTACCACACTGGACGGCGCTGAATGTTGCTAGCCCATTGCTAAGAGGCGTGGATTATTTTATTCTAGTGGAAAAGTGATGGTGATGGTATGGTGGTGATGGTGTGGTGGTGGTAGGCGAGGAGGAGGAAGTAGTGGAGGAGGTAGAGGAGGAGGAGGAGGAGGAGGAGAGAAGGAGGAAGAGAGGAGGAGAGGAGGAGGAGAGGAGGAGGGGGCGAGAGGAGGAGGGGGGCGAGAGGAGGGGGATGAGGAGGGTGAGGAGGAGGAGGAAGAGGGGAGGATTTCGGCCTGAAGGCGCGTTATCGGAGCGCAGCTCGGAAGCTACACGGCGCGTCGCGGTCTTTATCGACGCTACGAGGCTCTGTTGCATCTCGGAGAAGTTGTGTCGATGATAGTTTTGTTTGTTGTGTCGGACTTCATCGAAGCCAGAGGCACCACCAAACGGCAATATGCTGCGCTTATTCGGCGGAACAACTTTTCATATTAGGGGTCATCTTGACAATCGAGTTCTACCAGGTTAATATAACTTACGTACAAAAACTGTCCCTCACTATTTAGTGTGTCCCCACGAAGAAAAAAAACATTGGCCCTTAGAACTAAACATTTTGTCTCTGGACCGACAGTTTGGACGCACTAAACAGTTTTGTCCTGCTGAGCACCAAAGTTTCATTGCCCAGTTTCAAAATTTTGTTGACACTCACAGTAATTTTAGCGGCGGGAACTAACTTTTTGGTATCAGGAGCAAAGTAGGACGCATAAAACAACTGTCAAGTGCCCGACAGGAAAATATTTTCTCAGTGCCCGTGGCTTTCCCGTTCCGAGGTTTTTTAATGTCCTGTCCTTCATGAGTTGCGAACAGGCATTTTCCACGGACGTTCCTCAAAAAAAATAAAAAAAATGATAGTAATAATTAAAGGAAACGCGGGACAAAGTAAAACAGTAGAAAAAAATGACTCATGGTGGAAGTGTCAAAGAATTCCGTTCATGACGGGTTGAAGGCTCCACGCCGCCCAAAGAGGCTGTGCAGCAATGAGAAAATCTAACAAAAATTCAATGTCGTGGGCTGGTGCGCTTAATTTGTCTCTCTCTCTCTCTCTCTTTCTCTCTCTCTCTCTCCACCCTTCCCCGCTCGCCCCCGACGAGTCGACACGCTCCTTTTAGGCCGATAAGGCGACTTCCTTAATCATGTTCTTACTACATAATAATTGAGTTCGCCGATGGCCGCCTTGTAAAGTAAGCGTCGTCTGCACTCGACGACCGAAGTGCCCCGCAAAGGCGTTATCTTGAACAGCAACCGTTTTCGCCCCCCTCCCCATTCCCATCTCTTCAGTAAAAGTAATTCGGAATCCCCATTTCAATCGATCATATTTTTATGCCACGTTCACGATAAGCTCGCTCGCGACCAAAAACTTGCCAAAGGGAATGGCTGCATAGCTGGTGTTGCACACTACTGCTGACCTCAAACAGCAACAGTTTGGCATAGGAAGAGGGGAGGTGGGAGGTCTCTCTGAGTTAAAGTGGGTATGGGGTGCTGCGATCGAAATATGAAATATGAAAATACGAGCGGGAAAAGGGTACGGTAAAATGCGATTTGTCTTTGCAATTCTGTGCAATTAACAAAAAACAACATTATTGTTTCCAAAGACGCGAAGTCGGGCACTATATGTGTAGAGCGACAACAGGAAGCGTTCTTCCCGTCGCGATATTGACACAATTTTCTTTTGCATGGCTTGGAGGGTGGCAGGCAGGTTAGAGAGAGAAAGAGAGAGAGAAAAAGAGAGAGAAAGAGAGAGAGAGAAGGAGGGAGAGAGAAGGAGAGAGAGAGAGAGAGAGAGAGAGAGAGAGAGAGAGGAGGTAGGTTTGCTTGGGGCGGGCGCCAGGGGTCGAGCGGCCGTTTGCAGCCTTGTTATCAACATTGGGCGCCTCTTCGCCAAAAAAAATTGGCGTGCGCTGTTATCACGTCACAGCGAAGCGAAACGCCCCCAAAAGACAGAAAATTCATGTCCCATTGACCGATTTAAGTTATCGTGCGCGGGTCTTGCACCGCACGCGGCTGCGGTATATTCTTAGGGCGGATGCAGTACAGGGAAGACAGGATGAGATAGTATGGACAAGACAAAACAAAAGGCACGCGTGAGCAGTACGGCGAAACACGTACATGGACCCGGACACCTTTCCCAAAATAATGACTGAAATGCCGCCGACCGCGCTTCCTGTAAAGACTCCCGATGCCGGTGCTTCTCTGTCTCTGTCTCTCTTTCCCCAGAGCTTTGCAGGGTGTTTATCGGACGTCTGAGACGTATAGGTCACGAAACGAAGTAAGAGGAGCCCTTGCGGGGCCGCGAAACAGAGATTGACGCTCGCGGCACCAGCATCGCAATAACCCGTGCGATTGAAAGGGAACCTTCTCGAGCGCCTTGTTTCGATAACTTTGGCCCGCCGCGCCGCACGCGAAAAAGATACGACCAGACAAAAATATACAAAACAAAAAATTTAAAAAAAAATCGAAATACGAGAAGTGTACTGTATGTTAATAAGAACAAAACTGACCCGACGACAGGGCGCAACGAATAACATAATGGAAGCTTTTATTGATTATTTCTGAAAAATGGCACGGCTTATCACACAGTACACATTCTTCCACGGTATATTATGGAGGCAGGAAAAATAAAGACAGCTTCCTCACTTTCCCAAACGAGAGTAATCTTCTTTCAACTTTATATTGTACCCACTTTAGCGCTTTTAATGACGTCTTTGTACTCTTATTCAACAGTAAACATTAAGGGATTATCAAGATAGTACGTCAATCATTCGTGATAACACAACTGCCAAGTTCAGCCTATTAAGCAAGCCCTTGTAGCGCCGCTGATAGGTAGGCAACATCTTGCATGCAAAGCATGCGTGTTCTGCGGGGTGGCCTACCCAGAGTCTCGCAGGCGCTGACCTCCAATAGTTTACTGATAATGAATCAGAGAAAATTAGACGTACGTACCTCCACCTCCAGTTGGCCGATCACTATTTTAATTTCTTGTTTCAAGAGCAACATCGATCCTAGAACAGAGCTATCGTACTCGGACCAAAACAGGGTTTGGCTAGCCCTATCACTGTGAGAAATTATTGGAAGTGTTTTAGGTAAAGCTTCCATGCTGTACCTTTAAATTTTCAAATTGAAAAAGGAGCAACATGTATTGACTTGGAATTCATCAAGGAGCAAGATTGGGCTGTGGTGCAACATATTCTGCGAATTGTTAATACAAAATACGTTTGTAAAATGTACAAAATCACAGTCTTCTCTGTTTGTTTTTGTTGGATGGGTGGCGCTGCGGACACCCCGCTCGGCCCGCCGGCCGCGCTAGGCGCAAGGGGGCGCTCGCAGGGTGCGGGCGGAACGGAAGGGACCCCAGAAATGTCTCGTTATCTGTGTCTGGGCCAACTGACCACACAGGCTTGCACACAAGCCGTCCGGCCGGCAGCGCGCGTGCGAGCAGGGTGGCGGCGCGTGCTGGCGGCCAGCTCACAACGTGTGCACGTTATGCTTTATATAAAGTGAACATGGCAGAATATACTTTAATTGGCATGCGCATGTACACATTTCTAAACGTGTACACGGGCTTGTGCACATTTATATATACGCACATGGACGTGTACACATTTATAATTGCGTACATGGGCTTGAACACATGAATGGAAGTATACATGCCACGTATTAAGTATACTTGAAGTACGCCGTTGTACACATATTTGAACTTTTGAAGCAGCCCCAGCCCCCGCCTCTGTCGCCGTCATCGCCGGGGACGGAGAGACGGTCCGAGTGCGCTCGCTGACCCAAACCAAGACCGCAGCCGCAGTCAACACTGTGCGCGTGACGTCACGCGGGGGAGCACGGGGAGAGGAGGAGCAAAGGCGATTGACACGGGAAATAATAAACCAAAATTGAAAACATTAAAACAAAAAACGAGAAAGAAAAACTTTCTTTTCAAAAAAAAAGGAGGATTTTTGCGAATTTTATCTTTTGTGTTGACATGCAAGTATGGTTCACTGTTAAAATTAGTATTGTAAATTTACGATACCTGTATCGTAAACTTTCATAGCGACAAGTGTTGTTATATTACGACACTCTTGTCAGAAAAATATCGTTATTTTACGGTAATGTTGTTAAAAAAATTTTTTTCGTAAGATCAGGGATAGGGTCTTGACTATTTCTGTATGGTTTACAACTGTGTCGTCAGATTACAAAATTATTGTGAACATACAAACAATATCGTCTAGAAACGACTCGGTCCTGTTTCTCAACAAATAAATCGTTATTTTACAGAAAAAAATAAAAAATCTTCTGCTCAGATTGAGAAATAATGCACATTCCTAATATCTTCTCTAGTTATTTCTGCTTTGATATGACATG